GTGGAGAGCAGTGCTGTGGGAAGGGGCCGGGGCATCCGAGTCAATGGCAAGTTAAACATGAGCCAGCAGTGCCCCGGCAGCCAGGAGGGACATCCTGTCCTGAGGGACATCAGGGACAGCATCACCAGCCAGGCAAGGGAGGGGATTGTCCTGCTCTGCTCTGGGCTGGGACAGCCTCACCTCCAGTGCTGGGGGCAGTTTGGGGCACCACAGTGGAAAAAAGACGTGAAGCTATTGGAGAGTGGCCAAAGGCAACAAAGATGGTGAAGGGCCTTGAGGAGAAGCCATGTGGAGCTGGGAGCATTTGGTCTGTTCAGCCTGGAGGAGACTGAGGGGAGACCTCACTGCAGTCACAACTTCCTCATGAGGGGAAGAGGGACAGGCACTGATCTCTGCTCTGTGGTGACAGTGACAGGACCCGAGGGAATGCCCTGAAGCTCTGTCAGTGGAGGTTTAGGTTGGATATTAGGAAAAGATTCTTCCCCCAGAGGGTGGTTGGGCACTGAACAGGCTCCCCAGGGCAGGGGTCACAGCACCAGCATGGCAGAGCTCAGGAAGCTTTTGGTCAGTGCTCTTGGGTACATGGTGTGACTGCTGGGGATGGTGCTGTGCCAGGCTAGGAGTTGGACTCAGTGATCCCTATGGGTCCTTTCCAGCTCAGGATTTTCAGTGATTCTGGTGCGCTTCATTCATGGACCTTCTCCTTAAGAGGCGTCTCCATTGGGACAGATGCAGTTTTATCAGGTGTACCGTGACTGCAAGGTTGGCATTCAGGGCACGCAGAAATGGTCGCAGTGTAGGCACAGGCTGTGGGCAGGGACTGAGCTGAGCTTTCTGTGCAGCCTGGGCAGCTGTGGGGGCTGGAGGCTGAGCCCTGGAACGAGCCCAGCTCCGGCTCCGGGCGGATCAGCCCCTTGGCCATGCTGGTGCTGCAGCAGTGACAGCACACTCCCCCTTTCCCTGTGCCGTTCTCTGGCTGCTGGCAGGCAGTCTTTCAGGCTCTTAGCACAGGAATAGCTGATTTCTGATGTTGCAGAAATAATGCAGAAAAGGTGGAGGCAAACGTGAGTGTTGAGATAGCTTTCTGAAAATCATTATGTAAAGATACTGATCAGTAAATTCAGATGCAGCCTTTTTTTGGCTAGCAGAAATGCAGCTTTTATGATCTTCCTGTTTAAAAATAATTTTTCTCTTAGAGCTTGTCAGAACAAGAGATTTTTCGTAGTGCACTGCTGCTATTCAGTGTATATATGGCCTTTGTTCCTTGTGTCCTTCAGCAGTTTTGTTCTCCCTTGTCTCCATTGGCTTTTTTCAAATTTTGGACAAAAGTACCCGTGTGTTTACACTACACAGACCTTTCTCTTGCAAGTTGAGTTTGTTGTGAGCTCAGAAGGCAGTGGAGAGCAGCAGGATGAGCTGCTGTAGCAGCACACGGAGCGTGTCCTCTCCTGACCCTGTCCCCTGGTCCCAGAGATGCCTGGCAAATGGAGGCTTGGCACTGTGCCCCGGCTGGTTACACAAGGCTCGCCGTGTCCTACTTATCTGAACAAAAGCTGCTCTGAGCAACACGGGCATCACACCTAGGTCACACAGGCAGAAAAAGCCATCTCCTGACAGAATTTTACTGAGTCATGATGGAGCTTTCCTTCATGGTAAGTCGGTGAGGATTGTCAGGTTTCAGATGATGGCTTGCCTTGCTTGCTGAATAAATGCAGAGCCGAGAGCTATTAAACTTGCTGATGTCACCCTGGAGAGGAGGAGGGAGTAGAATCACTACTTGAGGTCTCAGGTTTGGATGTAAACAGAGACAGTACTGAAAATCTTTCACTGAACAGAAAAGGGTTCGTTTTGCTTTTGTCATTTATTGATTAAAGAAACAAGAAAACCTTGGGTACTTTCCTGTTACATTCTAAAGAATGGGTGTTAATTCTATGAGAGAAAGCATGTTAAGTTACCTAAATCAGTGTCAGATTACTGTTACTTTACTACCAGAACTAGTGCTTTCATCAGTTCTCTTGATATGGAATCCACTGTACCTCTCATCCTTGGAAAGGTTATCTTCGGAATTGTTTCCACAATTAGAGGCAAGTCAAGGACCCCAGAGGAGATGGAATGGGCTGCAGATAACTCTGCAATTACAGATGACTGCAAATCAAGGTGATTTAGGGCTTGGCTGATCTTAAAGGTCTTTTTTAACCTGAACGATTCTGTGATTGTGCCTTGAGCCGAAGCCCTTGAGAAGAGCCTGTTAGTTTTTAACATTCAGAACACTGCCTTCTAGGTAAATCCTCTTACTGGGGATTTGAATTTCTATAGACTGCTGTCTGCCTTGAGGTATTGTGTGTCGTCTCTGAGCTGCAGCGGCCTCTCCTGCATAACAACTATTCCACACAGCAGTAGCCAGCTCAGTGCTGCAATATTTGAGAGGGGTGCAGATGTTTGCCAGCCGCTGCTGTTGGTTGCAGAAATGGAAGTTGGAAATTATTACTATTTCTTTAATTTTTTGGTGCTGGTAATTGTCATTAGTGGATCTGCATTTGGCTAATGAGGTTGATGTGTTAGAATTTGTGCATGGGGTTTTTTTTTTTTGTCTGATTTCGAGTACTTAATGGGGAGCTATGTATTATTTATCCGGCAAGAGGTGTAGGTTTGCTTGTGTGTGTGCATTTCAGAGGTTCTTGGTTTGAAAGGTTCTGGGGTTTCTGTGTATTGCTTTTAATTGTCTAGTGTAAATGGTGTGTTTTTCTATAGTTACTGGCTTTGGTTTATCAATTTCTTTACCGTTTGTAGATTAATGAACAGTGCAAGTAGAAATTGAACACACTAAGAAAATTTTCATAATGTGGATTTTGGAATTTCAGAAGTTGGCTACTGTAGCAGTGAATATTTATTTTTTTAGGAGGCATTGCTGAAAATATTTCTTCCCTTTTTTACGGTATAGCACTTGATACTATTGGCATACTTACATATTAAAATGGGTAGATACTCTTACATGGTTGCCTGCTTTCTCTCAGTGAGTCTCACTGCAGTAACCCTTCAGAAGAGCTGCTACAGAACAGTTGTCAATCTTTTTTCTTTAGATCTTATTTTTTATAATAGCATTGCTAGGTGAGAGCAAATCTGTTCCATTCTGCTTTATCTTTCCATAGTAATTGTAAATGACGGTGCAAGATGACATATCTGTACAGGAAGAATTTTGTACCTTTTAGATTGGTAACACTCAGTTGTACAGGCCAGAGCCTTTTTTTTATTTTTTTTTTTTTGGCAGGCAAAATGCAATTTAAGATAGAGCATTTTATTTTTATTTAGTTTTTTTTTTTTAAAGTTGTCTGCTTAGTAGAATCACTATGGTAACAGACTAAAGGATGTCTCTGAGGCACTCAACCTGCATTGCAATGTAAGTGAGGGGAGACTGTTAAGTTGTCTGCCTGCTGAGCAGTAGGGAAAGGAGCAGACACAGCAGAGAAATAAGCTAATAATTAATATTTGTAGGCTATTATTTAATGCTTGCGCTAAGGTTAAAAGTTATTTTACAGTGTGAATCTGTTGGTTTTTGTATTCTCTTCTGGGGGGGATATTACTAAAATGTTAATTATAAATCATTAATTTGTGTTATTCATCTTGAGTTTGGTTCATTTTTTAAATGCTTTTATATGCTACAAATGGTGTTGATGAACTGGGTGAGGAGGAAGCTGCATTAGTGCATGTCAGGGCTTATGGAAGTGTCAGCATTCTTCTTATGTGTTGTTATGGATAATATATTAATTTTCAAATTTTTTTGCTCCTATTAAAATCAGGATTTTTGTAAATGTGATGCTCTGATAAAATCTTACACATCTTAGAGATGTGTTTTGTATGGACATTCTGTACTCAAGGAGTTATTATGGCCATGAGGAAAGTTAAGTAGCATCAAATAGCTCTGAGTACAATACTGAAACTGTATTGCACATATCCATTGATACAGACTTTGTTTCTTCCTAGCTACAGCAGTAAGCTTCCAGTGCCACCTAGTTTGGCATCTTGAATAGTTTGATCTAAATTATCATTTTTATGCTAAGAAAATAAAGTATACTAAAGCATCAGTCATGTTTTGTGTATTAGAAATCACCTGACTCTGAATTTTGTAAATAAGGTATTTATTAACAGTAGTATTTCATAGGTTAACTCCTAGGCTCCTGTATTCCTAGGCCTTATTCTCTCTTAAACAAATACATCAATGGAAATTTCACACCTTGTGAGGATTTTGTCCAAAGTTTATGGAAAAGCTCAGGCACTGGAGTTTCTGTGCCTGTTCCATTCATTTTTATATACTTGTGTCTCAAACCTAAGCAGTGATCAGTGAATTAACGTGACACTTGCAGACAGAGTTCATGGCTCTGCTTTGTGACCTTCTTTATAGATGAGTGAAAAACTTAACCTCAGAGCCTAGAATGTTTTGAAAGGTAGTTTTTGTATTCCTTAAAGAGCAGTGATTAAAATTAAACAAGCTTTGTGAGAACTTACGAACTCCTTATGAATTCATGTTTTAATGTAGAGGTATTCATAGTAAATGCTTTTTGACAAGAGTTCAATTTTTAAAAAACTTAAAATCCCTCAGTTTGAAGGGAGAGTGTTCTGTTTTTTAGATAGATTGAATGCTTAAGCATTTTTTTCCATGAGGTTGAGCTGGTGTGTCTGCAGTCCCAGTTGTGTATATAAAAACTTGATCTTCCAATTTTGACCATTCATTTTGATGTCTTCATCCTTTCAGATGCAACCCCAGTTGTTTTGTGAGGATCTGTTCTGTTGTCATCTTACATTACTAGAAGCATTGCAATGTTTGCAGTAAAAAGAATTTACTTTCCTCTAGTAAGCAGTGGAACAGAAATTGAAATTTTTTTTAAGACACATGGTAAAATGTGGTATTGATTTTCAAGTACAAAATTGATTTACTCTTAGTAGTTTGCCCAAGTGATAGTATTACTTTATTTGAAAAGCAAATAATTCTTTTTTCTTTCCAGCATTTTCAGTTAGCTTTGATTGACTGCAATCCCTGCACTTTGTCTAACGCTGAAAGTAAGTAACCAATAAGTATTTATTTTGTTGTGGATTTCTTTTAAGTCTTATGCTTGCAACTGTATGAATTTTTAATGAACTAGGTCTTCAAAATCAGAAGAATTGGTGCTGAGAAAGGGAGACTACAAAACCCATCTCCCTCTCTCAGTGGAGACAGATGTTCCAGTGGAATTGTGGATTGTTTTAGTAAATGGAATAAGTAAAAATTGAGACTTGGCTTATTCATTACTCTGAAGGCTCGAGTTCTGGAGGAAATTTACTATTTGACTGCTTTTTATTTATTTATAAACCTAGTGCCTGTGCTGTGGCAGACATTTAATAGCAATTATTTAAAACTTTGCATCATCTTGATAATCTATAAATTTTCAGTGATTATTTTCATGCCATTTAAATTTATAGATCCAAAATTCAGCATCAATCTTACTGCAGAAATAAGGATAAAAACCCATATTTGATTTTTTTTTGTTTTTTTGATGTCAACTATATATTAGTCTATATTTGAACATGTTAATCTTTAGTGCAGTGGGATCTATCATAGGCAGAATATACTGTAGGCTGTAACAGAGTGTCCTGCAGGTATTTAGCTGTAGTTAAAGGAGTTGTATGCAAGAATAAATGTGTGTTTCTTTGTGTTTTGGGTTCTGTAAGAATTAAAAGGCTGAGAGTTGTGAAGGAAATGATTCCTTCAGTTTTTCAGGTATCTTCATGTTGAGCTTAAGTTACCTCTCAGGTCTCACTTCAGAGGCATTGGATAAAATATTCAAAAGTGTTTATTTAAAAACTGGATGGAATTGTGAATATTGTATCAGCAAGGTAGTGAAAGGGAGTTTGTTCACATGGCTGAAACCACTGGCTGTATCAAGGAGCCAGCTGTGCTTCAAGGCTGTCTTCAAAGCTTTGTCACTTATCAGGAGCAGGCAAAGATAATTTTGTAAAAATTTGCAGAATTCTCCCTGAGTCAATGGGCTTTTAATGCTTTTCAACCAGACATGTGATTCTTTATTGTATTTTGTGTTTGTTCATATTCTTTCTCACTAACTTTATCGGTTTTCACTAAATCTCTGAATTTCTGTAAGGTTTTCCTGACCCTTCCCCTCTAGTCTCCTCTGCCCCCAGATTTGTGTAGAGGGCTGGCCCCATGTAAAGGCTTCAGTGCCTGATAAACCCGAAGGACCAGAGCAAAGAGGACTGAGAGGTGCTTGGTCAGGTCCCACTGTGCTGTTCTGAAGGAGAACTGAGCCCCCTGCCCCAGGGTGTTGGGTACCCTCACTAAAAGCTCCATTTAATCCTCCCCCTTGCATTTCTAAGAGCTGGGTGAGTAGCAGCATTACACTGAGTGTGTTCCCAGCAGAAATGTTAGAGTACTAAGCAGCTCTTCTTCCTATTTAGGCAGTCTCTAATCTGACACCTTTAATTTTCCTTTCCCCTCCAAGGCATCACTTCATTTTGGAGCTTCACACTGAAAGGGTTTTGTTAGGAGGGGAAAAAATACAGAGAGATTTTTTAGATAATGAATTCCTGAAACAAAAGCAGAGCTTTTCTTTCATCAGTACAAAGTGAAGTTTGATGATGCAGTGAACATAATGGGTGTGTTATGTCCTCTTTAGCAAGGAACACAAAAAGTTTATTAAAATTTTAGATGATGCATTTCATTCTGACCTGGTTTCCAAAGTGCACTCAGCTTCCTTCTTTATAGTGAAGGACAAAGCAATGCACAAAGGGAGATTTCTTTCCCTCTCTTATGACCCAGCATGAAACTCTGAACTCCATATTACCTGTATGTATGGTAATTTGGTGTCTCACTATTCTGTAGCTTCAAGGGAGAGAAATCTGTGTAATTGAAATAAATTGAGCTTGGCTCAAACCACAGGTATTTTCTTACTTGTAATCCTCATGAACATAGAGCAAAAGTCTGTCTCGAAGGAAGTTTTCTTTCCTCATCAAAGCAGAATGAGGATTTCATTTATCTCAATTAGCTTTAGCTATCTGCCAGTCCATGGATAGTCCAGGTTAGCAGTTCTCAAGTCTTTTCTGTGATGATTTGAGCAGCATAAGGGTGATTTTCTCTCTGCACTTACTCTTCAACAATTCCCATTTTTCTTTCTTCAGCCAGCAATCTTCTTGCCTGCACAGGCTGCTGGTAGTATTATGGCATTCTGGACAATTTGTATGAGGAATTGAAAATGCTTAACAGTAACAATCAGAGTGTCACCTGTAATTAACACTTCTGATTTCAGTTTAAAAAGGCAAAGACAATTCCTAAAAAAAGAAGAAAAAACCCCTATATTTAAGATCCCATATGAAACTGGCAGTGTGTAACATAATGTTCTGGAACCCTAGCTAGTCTATTTCTTGGCAGCTGAATGAAAATATTTATTTCTAGCTTGGTTATGTACAGAAAATACTATCTGTGTTCTCTTACGTCAGCTTCAAGAGATTTTATTGCTAAGTTTACTGAAAGGTTAATTCTGTTTCAGAATACAAATAAAATCCATGGGCTGCTTTTATCAATGTCTGTTTGCAGTTTTTGTGCTTTGTTAGGATATTCATTTTCTGTCAGGTCTAGTATATTATGTGTAAAATATCGATATGAAAAATACTCTTTTGGTATCTTCAAAATGTAATTTGTCTTGGGTTTGCATTGATAAATTTGAAATATTGTTTATCCCTCCCTTCAAAATATTGTAATTACTGTTGTTTATTAAAACTAATAATTTTGATTTTCCCACTCTTACAGTTCAGTTTCACATTGCCCACTTATATGAAATCCAGGTAAGCTTTAAGCTCATTTTCATAAAGTGTGGTTGAGTTTCAAACTGTGTGATGTAATCAGTCTGTGGAATTCAGATTATAGGTGCTCTAGAAAAGTTAAACTGAAGTCTTGACTCACTCAAGAAACTTGATTTGCTTTCTGAATTAAAAATATTTTGTGTGTGAAGTGTCGTGCTAAAAATTGGAATAGCTATCTAAATAAACATATATTTACTGATCTCCCAATTTGAGTGCAAAAAAAAAAAATCCAAAAATACAACTTTCAGGAAAATTATTTTTTGAGATTTTATTTGTATTTAAAAGGTTATATGTAGATTTAAAAATACCAAGTTTCTCAGTTTATATATTTATATTTATATTTATGTATATTCATATTGTTTCCGATATACACAGAATCAATTCCAACCAGTTGCCCATGTGCCTTTAAATTATATGTGGTATATTTGACATGAAATTTTCAAATTTAAGTGCAATTTTAAAAGTTTTTAGACTTTCAAATTAAATTGATGCATGTGGCAGTAGGGATCTACAGTCAACAGCAAATAAAGCTGTGTTACTAATTCTGTGTCAAATCCTACCACAGAGCTTTTCAGGTGAATCTTTTGGGAAATTACAGAACATTTTCTGAGCTTCCAGAATATAAATAAATTGAAACCAAGTGGCTACTGAGATAGCTATGGTATATTTGAGATTTGACTGACTGGTTACATAACGTGGATGTTGTACCCTTTTACCACATTTTGTAGGTATCATATGACTGAGGAAGGGATGTGACATGAAAACAAAACCTGTTATAAATGAAATGGATGACAGACATAAATTATATTTTCAATCAGTTAGAAAGTAAGTGCTGTCTTTTGATGGCACACTGAAAAATGGCCTTAAGTATTTCTATATAAATAGAAGATATAAATCTGATAAACAGAATATTTTTCTTTTGAATGCTTTTGGTGCAAAGTCATATGACAGGGCAGAAATCTCCCATCCCAGTGCACCATGAAGCAGCTTCTTGGATTGTTGTGGTTCTTACTTGGCTACCATCCAGATTCCATTCAACACATCAGTTCTGCTTTACTCCAGCAGATCAGAAAGAAGTTTAAACACCTCAGGTCACCATGCCAGGTGTCCTGTGTAAGTGTGTGACCAGTTACAGCTGTGCTTACAGCTGTGCTTCCTGGCTGACAATTCCAGGCAGCAGGAACTTAATTTTTATACAAGTCAGAGCAAAAATGTTTTGGTGCATTCTGCTCTTAGGTTTGGTTTGTCTCACAAGTCTGGTTGGGAGGGGTGTCGTGTTTTCTGGAATTTGGCAAACTGGCAGCCAAAGGAGTCCTGGCTTCATTCTGGGCAGTACCTCTGACACAACTGTGGAGAGGTTTTGGAGACAGGCTGGTTGCTCAGTTTCTTTTACAGGACACGTCTGAAAGAGTCTTTTGAACCCCTCCATATACTTGAAAATCATCTATTCTCATAATATTAATGAAAAAGTTAATTCATTCCTTAATTAGGTACCATGGTAGTGCACTTTAAATGATGGATTGGCAGGCTCTGGACAAGAGACAAGCATGGTGCTGATGAGAATTAGCAGTGGTTTTTTATTGTGTTTAATGCTGGTTTCTAATATTTCACCACCAAGTGAGATGGCTTGTATAGTGTCTAAAGAAAGATGCTGGATTGGGTTCTCCTCCTCTTTTCCATTTCTGAGACCATTCATGATGCAGCCAAACATCAAGGACTTTGGAATTAGCACAGAGATACAAAGTTCTTCCCTGTGGGGGTGGTAAGGCCATGGACAGGTTGCCTGGAGAAGCTGTGGATGCTCTGTTCCTGGATTTGTCCATGGCCAGGTCAGACAGAGCTCTGAGCCACCTCCTCTAGTGAAAGATATCCCTGCCCATGGCAGGGGGTTGGAATTAGATGATCTTTAAGGTACTTTCCAACCCAATCCATTCTGATTCGATAAAATAAAACCAAATGTAAATTTTGTGACAAGTTTTGTTAGTATTTTAAGGCATATAGGTAATCAGATTTCTAAAGGGTAAATGCTACAACAAATAACAAAAGTAAAAAATATTCTAGGTCTGGAAAACATGCTCTGTTTTAAAAGGCCTTTCTGAAACCCCCTGAGCCTGTAAACATATTTTTCAAAGTGTGAATATTAGGCACTAATATTTACCTAATTTGACATCTGGATTGCTGCCTCTGCTGTCATGCTCTACAGTGAACTTCCATTCATTTGCTTAACATTCATAGTCATAAACTACAAATTTTGTTCCCAATGCTAAATTTAAAATATTTTCCTGATTGTTTTTCTTTTGCTGGACATGGATATTTTATTTATTTATATTATTTGTTTTCTTACCAGTTATCTGCATTTCATGAACACCAATTAAAAATCTTTTCTACCAACTTCCCCTTGTTCCATTTGAAAGTATGTAATTGCTGCTTTAATTTTTCTTCCTGACTAGAATAAGGCTTTTAAATCACCAGGGTTGTCTTTTGTCATTTTGAGATTTCAAGAACTTTATAACATTTTAAAATTCTAGTACGTATTTAATTGTTTAGAATTTTCTTCCCATTTGTCCTTCAAAACACCAATACTGATTACTGTGTACTCCTTGCTTAAAACAAATGTAATTAAGCCACAGTCATTTGCATTTAGGTGGCCCCATTTATTTTAATGCACTCTTCATCTGTTTGCCAGAATGCAGTCTAATGTTGAATTATCTAAAAGCATATTTGTGGAAAAGGAGGCACAGAACAGTTGAACATTTAAAATACACTCACTTTTAAGCAACTGTTGTTAGGGAATGCGAAGGTAAATGCTGACGTTATTAGCAAATAATTAATCAAATAATTATTGAGAAGTCTTAACCTTTAATATACACAAAACAGCTCATACAGTTCATAGAAGTCAATAAAGACTCTAGTCCTAATCTGGAAGTGTGTTTTCTGTACCAACACCTATTTGTATAGGGAATTGAAAACCGAGTGTTTCCAGACTGTAGGCACACCTAAACCATACAGCATATAATAAGATGTTGTACCTTCATTACCTAGGCATAAACCTTTTAATTCTGTGTGTAATGAGACTCTTACCAGGGCAGCAAATACCTTGAGAGAGGCAGTTCAAATATACCAAAGGAAGGAAAGAGGCAAAATTATGCCAGCCACCAATTACTGATGATCTTTGCTTTTGTCAGAAATTTCCTGGGAGGAATTTGTGTGGGGTTTTCTCAGATGAGACTCACATGCAAGTATTCCCTTAAAATCAGAATATTCACTGTAGTGTAAGAAGCATAATGCATGTATGAGGAATTGACAAAATTTAATAATTTGCAAATTTCCCTCAATTATTTTAAGTAGCCAATTTCTATTAAATACTATATTTATGGAAGTTATTCTCTTACCCTATATATACGTCATTCATTAAAGCTTTCATATGCACTGTATGCAAAAAAAAAAAACCTAGAATTTTTTGTCAATGTGTTTGTGTGCTGTCAGTGCTGTGAAATCGTTGCTATTGGTGATCTGTTGTAAGCTCTATGATTAATCCATTTACTTTTTTCCTTTTGCAGAGAAAGTATCACTCTGCAAAGGAAGCTTATGAACAGCTTTTGCAGATCGAAAACCTTCCTGCACAAGTAAAAGCAACTGTCTTACAGCAGTTAGGTATGTAAAATTAACTTTTATTTTCCTGTGTTTTGTTTTTGCCATCTTTGCCTTCAGCAGTGTTTTTTAAGGCTCCATTTCCAAAGTGAGTCTTAGACACACTGCACATGGAATGTGAGATTTTCACCCAAACAGGACATGTAGCAGTAGATAATCAAGTAAATAAGAGAGGAGGAAAATATTAAACTTACAAAATTAAAAAGCTCTTGTGTGTTAGATTTTGGGCAGTGAGAGGGTGGTCTTTCAGAGAAAGAGGGCAGCAGTTGGAATTCTGTATTCTCTGTTCTGCCTCTGTTAACGTCCCTTGAAAAAAGCCAGGCAAAATGCAGTAAACCCAAATGCTCTGAAGCAAACTAGGAGAACATGGCAACTGAAAAATTTACCTTTTTTTCTCTATACTGTGTAATGAAAACCAGCTTCTGTAACTAAAAGGTTTATCATCAGGTTCCATTAAAAATACACATAAAAAGTGAAAAGGAATTTTTTTTTTTAATTGTCGTTTTCCGTATTTATAGAAAGCTGATAAATAATTTTTAGATAATTTTTAAAAAGTGGGTAGAATAAAATGTTTTTGTCCTCTTTACCATATAAAAGTATTTCCAGATATTTTGGTAAAATTATTCAACGTAATACAGAACTTCTTCATTCACCTTCTCCATGTTCTTCATCTAATTTATTATTCTAAATATTAATTTAGCCTGCTTATGCCCATTTTTATTTTTTTTCCCTGTTTACATAGTGGTCATTTAACTCAGATTTGTAACTGGCATTAAATTATGGCCACAGTGCTTTCTTTTTCTGTGATGCAGGTTGTGTATGGATTTGGAGTGGGATAATTAGTGCTCTGTGACAAAATGTCAAAATCAGTGGGCTAATTTTGAGTCATCTCTGAAATCACAAGTGAAACTGCTGGAGGAGTTTGCTGCAGGACTCTGGGTGTTGCTCTTTTTGCTGTCACAGGACAGTGTTGCTTACATCTCAGTAAGCCCTTTGATTTTTTTATTTTTTTTTTTTTTAAGCTTGGTATTATGTCACCTAGTATAAATTGTCAGCACTTTCATCCAGAAAGGCTGTGCATCTGATCAGTGGAAGACAGGCTTCTCAAAAGAGCTGACCAGCTCTTTTTCATCTCTGTCTGATGTATGTTGCCACAATAGAAGCAAAGGCACATGGTTGTATTCATAAAATCCTGCCACAGGTCTCTGTGCTAGCAGTAAGAGCAGTGACTTTGAGAATTGTCTGCTGTCTGAAAACTGGATTAACTCTCTTTATTCAATCAGCATAGGTCACCCAGTTTTGTTGTGTGGGTAGCTTCTATATGGAGAAAGGGATAGAGTGGTCTTAACTGGAACATTGAAGGAATAAAGCCTTTTCCTTTGCTCTTCTCTGGTAACAGTGCTATTTATCAGAGTCTGGTGTTTATCTCAGATTTAGTCTTTAGCAGCTGGTAATAAAAACACCTCCTCAGGAAGCTCAGTCCGGGTGGTTCACTGCTGCTTAGAAAAAATAATAGAAAATACCTGCCATCTGCCAGAATGCTAATGCAAAACCCAGTCAAAACATATTTGTATTTGTAAATTGAACTCTTTTTTTTTTTTTTTTTTTCACTTTGACAGAAAAAAATCAGTTTGAAAATAGCTTTTGTTTATTTTCCTTCTCTAGTTAGTGTTTCTTGAGCCAGATTGGAATTTAGGCAAGTTCAGATATCTTGTGAGAGAATTACCAAAATCTTTGCTCCTGTTGCTGGTTTCCAAAGCTGTGACTGTGGAGGAGAACCCTGTGATTCCCAGATAAACACATATCCAGTTGAGCTGATGAATGCAGACTAGTTCAGGTAGACATCACAATAAGATCTGTGGTGGATAATAGCAGTTTGTTCCTTCCTTCTCTTTGCTGTTCCATTTGCTTTCCAGACAATTCTTTTCATCACTTTGCCCAAAATGACATTAAATTAATGAGACTGAAAATCAAATTTGTCCCAATATTCTTTCTCCAGTTGTACTCAGCTGTTTTGTAATAGTGTAAAAACAACATAAACATCTGCTTAGTGCTCCCAAAGTGCTCTCCCAATGAGTTTTGGCAGGGGATGTTCCTAGATGGAGTCTCTGTAATTGGATGAGGCATCTTAGGTGCTGAAATGGGCAAGAAGTTCATGTCTTCAGAGACACTCATATTTACTAAAGAAAAAGTGATTGCCACAAATTCAGTGTGAGAATGATTGATAAGCATGAAAAAAAGATTCATGAGCTAGGCTAGCACTTCAGATGGATTTGTTCCAAATCTGTTCCAAATGAGATTGCAAAGATCTGCGAAAGATCATGGAACATTTGTGAAGTATGGACAAGGTCTGTGGTTTGGTGTATCATACTTAGAGTGTCCCAGCAGTGGAAAAGTAATCAGTTATGGTGGTTGAGAATTGGAGATAGGTCTTGCAAATAGGAAACTGCACAGCTTAGGGGTTTTCCTCACCTTCTTTATGTACATTCTTTGTTTTATGCTCAGGACCAGATCCAGTTTCCTCTGCCTGTGCTAGTCTAGTGGAAAACTTCTGTTTCCTCTCCCTTTCTTGCTTTCTGCCTTTCTCAACTCCCTGTGCAGGAAGATAAAATTGGGAAGCAACCCTTGTTTCAGCAGAGAAACCAGATAGGGATTGCTGGTTCTCATTTCTGTCTTCTAGAAATAGACTATTTTTTTTTTTATCAGTGAACCTCAGTAAAGATCTCACAAAGATACAACATGTTATCTTTCAATCCAGCAAGGTTCCAATGAAACAGAAAATAGGCACACAACATTTCTAAAGATAGAGGAAAATTTTAATGTCTCTTTTTTAGCCTTGGTCATAATCCCTGAACTACGATCTTTATCTTGGGGTTTGTCTGGAACAGCACCTGGTGCATATATCCTTAATGTACTGTTACTCAGGTGAATTCCAATAACCAACCTCAGAGAAACCTTTTTTTCTTAAAGCATGAGTATTTTCTGTATGCTGAAGAGCTTCAGAGGCTTGGGATTTGAGTCAAAATCATAGCTTGTTTATTAATTTAATGACACAAAGTTGTGTTACATGGTTTTTTATATTTTTTTCTTTTTTCCTCAATTGGTAGATTTTTTTACTTGATTGCTTTTCAGTCAAGATGAAGTACTTTTTTCAGCACTGTAACAACTTCACTCCTTACCTGACATTTCTTGAGTCCATGAAATACTCAAACTTCTGCTTGTGACCACAGTTTTCAAGTGATGCTTCTCAGACCACCTCAGGCAAATGTTGTTCAGTACTTGCGATTTTGTTTTTGACTGCCTTTGTAAAAGTTTGGAAGCTTGCATTCCTTTTGCAGAAGTGTGGTGTCTGTTAGCAAGTCTGAGCCCATGGAATAAAAAAATGAGCTATGTAGAACAGGTAGAATAAAAATCATCAAGTAAGGTGTAATTACAGAGAGTGAGGTGAGCCTGCAAACACTCATCAGTTAAGTTCTCAGTCTTGCCTGGCTGTGTAGTTAGACTTTATCAAAAAGCACAAATTTAGAGTGCTGAAAGTTTAGCTCTGAGAGCTTTTAAATGGACGGGCAGTTCAGGTGAGTGCTCAGCTCTGTCATTAACCAGAACTTTATACAAACCTTGGGTAGTTCATGAAATCAGTGTCTTAGTGTTCCACAAGGGGCTGTTTATGGGTGTGACAGGGACAGTCTTTTGTCACATTTTACATTTTACAAATGGTTTCTGAAAAGCAGTGGCTTGTTAAGACAAATACATGGCTATTGAACAAACAGCAAGGCATTGCTGAGCACTGTGGTATGCAGTGATTTCAGCAAGCCAGCTGCTGGCCACAAAAGATTTCATTGTTTGTACTCCTTGTATGAACAGCAGTGAGATGGTTTTGTGGCTGCTTGAAGGAATTCCTTCTGAGCATAGAGGCAGATGAGGAGCAGCTGGAGAATGTGATGAAGGTGCTTTGTTTGAAGTGGTATCCAAGCCTTGCATCAGTGCTAGAGGAGAGATGGGTTTTAATAGCATGTAAAATATCATTGGGAAGGATGGGCTGTGGGAGGCCTTTAAAGTGGGGATGCATAATTTGTCTAAGGTAATGAAAGAAGAAAAGGCATTTGAAAGAATATGACGTGTGGTTAGATTAATTTGTTATGTAGATGGGAGGTGATGGCATTTGTCAAGGTGAATGGAAAGTACAATGTATTAATGAGGAGGAAATAGCAATGTGTAAAAGACTCAAGTGGAGATGCAAAAAATTCTTAGTCCAAATATAGATATGGGACAAATACAAGGTTTTAAAAGAAAAAGAGTAAACAATGTAATATGTAGATGTACACATATTCGATAGATACATATGTTTGTATGTACAAAAAACATAATTGCTTTCTGTGACAGGGAGAAAGGTGGCATTTTTCACAATGTCAGGGAAGGTAGCCCTGTTCAGTGGAGGAAAGAGTTAACATTCTTTTTATATGCTTTCATAGTAGAAGATTGAGCAGTTCATAATTGTGCACCTAATCTCTTAGAAAATTATTTAAACCCAAAAAAGTGCTTTAAAACTACATGAAAGTAATTTTAACTTTAGAGTCTTTTTTGTCCTATAATTTTAGTATAGAACTTTAAAAGTTTTTAAAACTTTGTAGTGTATATATAAGTGGTTTTATTGCTTGATATTCTTATTTTTGAAGACACCAATGCTACAAAGTCCTGCTGTGCAGGAGTGTTAAATGGTCTTGGGGAATTTCACTTCTCCCATTTGTGGATTGTTTTTGTAGGCTGGATGCATCACACCGTGGATCAGCTTGGAGACAAGGCAACCAAGGAAAGCTATGCTATACAGTATCTCCAGAAATCTCTAGAAGCAGATCCAAATTCTGGTCAATCCTGGTATTTCCTTGGAAGGTGAGAAAATACTTTATAGACACTGTAACTATGTTGGTAAATATTTTGAGGATACTCATTATTGTGAGTATCTTACACTGTTTTTCTTCTTAATCCTGTCAGAGGGAAAATGAAGGGCAAAGTATGTATATATCTTCTGAAGTCTTTAAGTTTTCTGGGAAGTGTATGAAAAGACAAGGTGCTAACATATTTGGGATGAATAAACATTAGAAGTTGAAATGGAGTATGTTACCCAAGTGGCTCTGTTTTTTTGTAGTTATTATTCAGTCTACACATTTACAGTAATCTGAATATATCCAGCCTGGTTTTGCGTGTTTCTCTCCCTCTTTTTTGTAAATCCTCTGTAAATGTTGTTAGTTTTCTTCATACCTTTTTCATAATTTTTTCTCTCTCCATTTTCTCAGAATCTCCCTCCTAATCTCAGTTTTTGCACTGAAATACAAATATTTTCCTAGGCAGACATCCATTTTTAAAGGGCATACACAGCCATATATAGCTCACACAGATCCCTTCTAATGTCTCTTTAAGTGTTCAGTTAATTTTGTAGCCTTTGACAGTATTTTTTACTTGAAAAATAACATTCCCAGATGTAAATTACGCAAATTTGATGAGTTTTTCTGGTTTCCTTTTTAAGAAAATTGAGTATTTCACTTAAGCCAGCAGTAACTACTGAAATACTCAGGTTTTGGAGAAACCTTTGAGTGCAATTCAGGTTCATATGTGAACACATCAGTTCTGTTGAGGAATACATTTAAAAAGAACGAGGCAAAAATAAAATTAATATCCTAACCTCAGTGTCTTCCAGCTGACATTCTTAGAGATTCTGGTCACATACAGCTGGAACCAGTTTTTGATTTTGTCATGCTAATATTTCTCCAGCTGTTCCTGTAAGACAGAGGTGTCCAGCCAGCACCAAGTGTGTGGAGCAGAGGGGCAGGGCAAATGTGGAGGGAAAAGGGAAAATGAGACAGGGATCATCTTGTGCATCTTGTCTTCCACTGGGCTAAAATTATGTTTTTTCTTCAGTAGCCCCATTCTCGGTGCCTTGAGCAGGTTGAGTTGTCAGGCAGGAGGACAGAGCTGAGTTGTCCACACGTGCAGCTGCTGTGCTCTGCTCTCAGGTGGTCAGGGTGAAGCCTGGGATCCTGCAAACAAGGGGGAGAATTCAGGAAATGGGGTGGAAAATGGAGTGGGAGCGTGTCTTTTGCTTTACAGGGAGGACTAGAGCAGAAATGTTTCTGTGCCCCATTTCTGCAGTCCATACTCTGGCAGGAGGAGAAGAACAAGGTTGTGGGGTTGTGCATTCACTCTTTTTTTCCCTTCTCATGTATTCCCCTGTGCTATTCCTTTCTCTGCTGTTGTCCAAACCAGATAACAATATCTTTCAAAATACATCACCACCTCCCTTCTCTCCCAGTGGAAAAACTCCATCTGCCAAAGTTTTTTGGGGCCCTAATGTTAGTGCTACCCTAAAGAGAAGCTTTATGTGTGTGATACACAGGCAGAGTGAAACATGTCTGCTGGACATTGGGTTAGATTGCCATTAAAACAATCTCCTGAAACACTGTCTTCAGACTTAATAGATTATTTTAGGCAAAGTAATGCTATGTTTTATTGTATTCCTTTTCTAGTGTGCCTCAAAAATGCCTGAAAGAGTGTAGCATGTTTTACAAACCTTTGCCTGTATTGTTATGCTTGTTTTTTATTATTTACTAGAATAAATTTTCTACTGTTATTTATATGTTTTGAAATTTGTCAGTTGTTTTTCCAGCAGGGAAAGTTGTTAGAAGCAATACAAGACACAGTTATTGTTGGTTAAACTAGTAAATATATATAGATGGATGTTTGATCTTGGCTTTATTTGGAGCTTTTAAGTTTAGAACTGTAGATATTGTTCCCTGTGGTATAATTGTAGTTGTCTTTAATGCCAGAATACCTTTGAATTTGTACGTGAGGAATTAAAGTAAGAATATAAAAAACTACAGAATAACACAACCTTTTACAAAATTTGGTGCTCTGTATATGCAGTACAAGTAACTGGTTTGTTCTTTATTTAAATATGATTGAGATGCAAGAAATGCACATAAAAAGCCTCCCAGGCAGTCAGGGACCATCCTGGTTGAGTTGGTCAGTATCTCTCAATAATTCGGTTTTGTAGAACATTAAGTTTTATAACCATTTGTTTGATGAAATAGGTAAACTTAATTGTAATGCTATCTGTAGATAAATACTGCTTTTATTGGCTGATAAGGTATCAACAAGTGAAAGAAATGCAAGTCTGTGAAATGTGGGATGACTGTTTTCCTTACAAATGTAGTAATCTAGGGTTTAAGTAGTTTTGGGGTGCTTAAATAAGTAACTAATAATACATGTTGAGCTGTTTGAGTCTGCTTGTGCCTGGCATTCAGAAACAGCAAATGTTGAGTGTGTATTTGCATGACTTAACATTTATCACATCAGTCTTGGTAAGCCATGCTCAATGATTACCTTCTATAAATACTACCAAAGTTCTTTTTTTCTTCTCCCAGGTGCTATTCAAGTATTGGGAAAGTTCAGGATGCCTTTATATCTTATAGGCAATCGATTGATAAATCAGAAGCAAGTGCAGATACATGGTGTTCAATAGGGTAAGAATGATATAGAGTAATACAATTATTTAATTTCATGTTAATATATATAGATAAAAAATATCAACTTTTTAACACTTGTGTGAACTCAGAGGGGACTGTAAATTCTTCTTTATTTATGCACCCATGTTGTCAGACTTGTCTGATTTGAAGTTTCAAAAATTAATTAGTATTTGCTGTCTCAGTGTTTTAAAATACTGAGTATGTTACATACATAAATTCTGCATATTAAAGTTTTATATGTTTCTTCTTATAATTGTGGTTTATATAATGCCAAGATTGATTAAAGGGTTGGGGAGGGATGTGTATATTTGAGTTGCTTGTGTCTTGACTTTGTTATTAATTCTCAACTTCACTAATCTTTCTATTCAGTGTGCTGTACCAACAGCAAAATCAGCCTATGGATGCTTTACAGGCCTATATCTGTGCTGTACAATTGGACCATGGCCATGCTGCAGCCTGGATGGACCTAGGCACACTCTATGAGTCCTGCAACCAGCCTCAGGATGCCATTAAATGCTACTTAAATGCAACTAGGAGCAAAAATTGTAGTAATACCTCTGCACTTGCAGCACGGATAAAGTATTTACAGGTAAAACTAATGTTTTAAGCAGGGGAAGTGCTCTTCAAACACACAGCAGAGGGGAGGGGAGAAGTCACACATGAGTTTAACTTGCAGTTGTTTGTGGTGTGTTTAACCTGTTTTCATGTGTACTGTAAGCATATCATAGCCTGTAATATTTTATTTCTTCATTTTTAAGTGGAACTTAATTCCTTATAAACCCTATTTTGCACATTTAATCAAAGCATACTGTTTTACATCATTTTGCTTTTTTCTTTGTATTTGTCTACATTTTTAAGTTCTCATAACATATAGTGAGAATACGCAACACACTATCTTTCACTCTTGTTTGCAATTTCAGAAAAAAGGAATTATGAGACCTCTGAATCCAGAGCTCATCTTTGTTCTGATTCTCACAAAGGTTTATATTCTGGTTACCCTCTTTATACCTAGCACCTTTCTAAACCCCAAAATTTTAAATCTATCCTCTCTTTAAAACATAATTAGCTACAGCATTTAGGAAGATTTCATGGACTTGCTCTTACTAAAGTAGGCTTGTGTTAAATTTGCTTTTTACATAATTTTTCCTAGGCTCAGTTGTGTAACCTTCCACAAGGTAGTCTACAGAATAAAACTAAATTACTTCCTAGTATTGAGGAGGCATGGAGCCTACCAATCCCCGCAGAGCTTACCTCCAGGCAGGGTGCCATGAACACAGCACAGCAGGTGAGAAGTTGGGTTATGTTCTGCAGGTGCCCAGCTTTAAGGGTTCTTTACAATCGGTAGTGGTCAAGCTTATTTTATTGAGCACAGGATTGGCTTTTATTAAAAGAAGCCTTTGATTTATTTGCAGAGGGATATTAGATCAAGAAGCTCCCTATAATGTGGGAGAAATATGGGGGTACCAATTTAGAACCTTTGTGGATTTTCATGATTTTAAAAGATTTTCATCTTAAATAGAAATGCTGCAGTGGTTTAATAATCCCGTGAAAGGTACACATTCCTCCATTGATGACCATATGGAAACTGATTTTTCAGTTATTGAGATCAGCTTCAGAATATCTACTCGGCCCTTTTAATGTATGTGGGCTGTTAAAATTATAAAATTGAAAGGAAAGCATTAAGAATATATAGAACCATATTTTTGTCTTCCTTCTGTGATTCTTAGGCTTGTAAACCTCATCATCCAAATACTGAACCTGTACTAGGCCTCACTCAAACACCAATTTCACAGCAATCCTTGCCACTACACATGATTCCTTCTAGCCAAGTAGATGACCTGACCAGTCCTGCCAAGAGGAAAAGAACATCTAGTCCAACAAAGGTATATATTCCAATGAACTAGAGCCCCCTACCAAAATTATATGGAAATATGCTTTGAAATGATACAGCATGCACAGAATTTGTGCTGTAAATTTTAATCCTTTGGCATCAAGGTGGGGAATGTTTTTAGAAATTTTAAAGAACATTTTTCAGTGGTGTGTTTAATCAGATTGTAGCTCAGACAGGAGGTGCATAAAGGCAGTGCAGATTGGTGGCACTATACTGCAGTTGTAGTTGTGTCAGTGAAGAAGTGCAGTTGTAGTCTGATGATTGAGAGGGAGACAATCATGTCATCCTGTCTATTGCCTTTGCTTATATTTAGAATTCAAGTGTTTCATCATCATGTAATAGTGTTACAGTAGATAAAGTATTCAGTTTTTAAAGTAGCATACATTTAAGTTGATTGCATAATTTTGATTTGCTTGTTTCTCCTTATGGTATTAGATATCATTAACCTTTTCCTCAGACTACTCTGATACTGTTGGGAATAGTAGAGTGAGACTTGGTTAATTTAGTACATTCTTACTATTATATATTTTATAGAATTATTTTTGAAATGATTACTAGTTCTTTCATAAATAAGATAACATAGGTAGTAAAAGAAATTATGTTGGCCCTTTGATAGTCACACATTTTAATGTAACATTTTCTCTCAGAATACTTCAGATGTTTGGAGCAGTGGCCATACAGTGTCACATCCTCCTGTACAGCAACAAATTCATTCTTGGTGCTTGACACCACAGAAATTACAGGTATGTATGGGAGATCTTCAGAAACTCTGTTAAATATTTTCTTTCTTTCCTCCTTCCTTTTAAGAAAATAAACCTGGGACATGTTCTAGTTTCGCATTCCTGAAATTCAGTGTAAAGTACTTCCCAAAAAATTCCCAGGGTGTAGTTGAAGTTTTCTAATATTTGTGGCCTCTCTATGTGAGATAAGTTCTAGTAGTAAACTAAATGATCTCTAGCAGGAGCAGAACGCTTACATTGTATGAGTTCTATAATTTATAAAGTAAGAACATACAGTAACTCTTTTTTCTTATGTTTTAAAGACATATGCAAATTGTCACACTCATGTGCAAAGTGAGTTTTGTGACTTGCTGAAATGTGGGGGATAGTGAAAGAGGTGTGGAAGTATTGTAATATCATCCCTTCCTCTGAGGTTGCTTCTTGAATCATATTGCATAAAAAATAAGCACATTGTACAAAATAATTATTCATATGAAATCTGGTGCTGCTTTCCTGTATTTTGTGTCACCTAACACAATTATATGAAATGGTAGATTTTTATTTGGAAATCTTATTTTGGGTGCTTTTTGTCAGGAAGTTTTCTTGTCTCTTCAGTTCATTAGGGCATGCAGTGAGCTTCAGCAGGAATTCCATCTATTGAAAATCAGGCCCTGCTGGAAAATTTTACCCATGCATTGCACATGCTTTGGATGCAAAGAGAAATAGAAGCGAGCAGAGGCAGAAAGCATTCTCATTAACTGAGCAATGTTCCCCTCAATTCCAATATAGTTCTTCAGCTGTTTCTCTGTCTGAACAATATTGGCTTTATTATACTGTATAATTTTCCCTCCCTCTTTCTCCTGCCTCCCCACCCCTTTGGTTCTTCCTCAGTCTTTCTCTCTCTCTCTCTCTCGCTCTCTCTTTCCAAGCATTCTCATTATTTCTCTCTGCTTATTTTGCTACTCTTTCCCCTTTTCAGTCTCACTTTTTTCCAGATCCAACTTCCTCCTCTAAGCAGAATCTCAGTAGGCCTCTCTTGAGTACAGTAGACTGGACGTGCTGGCAATAGCTTGACATGGTTCCAGCACATATAAAAAGGAAAGCCAAAAATGTATGATGCAAGAGGAGAGTGAATAAAAAAACCTTCATTGCATCTTCAAATTGGCCTTTCAAAATTGGCAACTCAAAGGCTGGATGGATATGGCATGTTACATGTACATGCATATGTATGTGTGTATATATATATATATATTATTTATTGCACTCCCATCCAGAGGGAATTCAGAATGGAAGGTACTGTTAATCCAGGGAATTTGGCATGAACCATCTTCATCTGCTTTTAAGTCATACCACTTAGCAGCAGCAGACTTACTGGTAGAGTGTTGTGGGGTGTTGGGTATTTTTAATTAAGTGCAGAGATCAGATTTTTGGTAACAGATACCTAAATTTGTCTGTTGCAAACAAGATCAGTATTGTAACTTTTAGATGTTGCTCTTGCTAATTACATCATACAAATTTCTGGGGGGTTTTTTATTATTTTTAATATTTTCAGGATAAGTTTTCATGTGTGCCTATAGGTTTAATTCACTTTGTATTGATGTTCATCAGTGTCGTTGATGAACAGTATTAATAAAAGAATAGCACAATACAGAAATTATTAAAATGTAAATAATTATTGTAAGAATTATATATACACATACTTGAATGTAGTTTTGGTTTATGGTACCAGCACACTTAATTTTAGTGTGGTAGCAATAATTATACACTCAAATAATTTACAGAGTCTTTAGTAACTAGTAATAAGGTTAGTTTACAAGAGATTGTATGGAAAGGTGTTGGAGTCTGCAGCAGAAATCTTGATTATTTTCAGCTTTACAAGTCTTGTCTTCATGGATACTTTTTAGTATTTTATGCAAGAAAGTTATTAAAAAGCCCATGCAGTTTTAATGATTATGAACCACACTGCTGTTTTTTTAGCACTTGGAACAGCTGCGTGCAAACCGAAATAATCTAAATCCAGCACAGAAACTTATGCTGGAACAGCTGGAGAGTCAGTTTGTCTTGATGCAGCAACACCAGCAGGTGAGAACAAAAATATTTTTCTTATCTACAACACTTCTGTCAGTAATGCAAACTGTTGTGTTTCTAGAATTCTGAAGAATTTCTGCTGTACAGAGTTCTTGTGCCCTTTGCCGTGTTATGTTAATTTTTTTGGATAAAGGATACTTGTGGATTAGTGGTCGAAACATTATGAGTTTGGCTGCGTTTTATTATAGGGCAGCTGGTTAACATAAAAGTTTTCAAGCCCCACTTTCAAAGTAAAGCGAGTGGACATACCTAAAAGCAGTTCTGCTTGAAAATACTTGGCTGTGGTAACAGCTGTTCTCTTGTCCTGTCATGGTTCACTTCTCTCTCCCTCTGTCCAGCATCAGCAGTAAAACACTCAGACAGAAGGGCCGAGATAAAAGTGTGCTGATAGCTTTACTTAACATTTACTCAGCATTTTAATGAGCCTGACAGTCATCTTGGCTCTCAAAAGCAACTGTGAAGATCTTAAAATGAGTATAAAATTGGATCTGACCAGTGCAGTAAAGTACACAAACCTTGTATGACCCTTCCTTTCTCAGTTCCTCAGCCAATGTTGTTGTGCTTTGTTCGTGTTCCATTAGATGAGACAAACAGGAGTTGCACAGGTACGATCTACTGGAATTCCTAACGGGCCAACAGCTGATTCATCACTGCCTACAAACTCTGTCTCTGGCCAGCAGCAGCCGCAGGTTGCTCTGACCAGAGTGCCTAACGTCGCTCAGCGTGGAATCCGTCCCGCCTGCCCCGGGCAGCCTATGGCTAATGGACCCTTTCCAGCAGGCCCCATTCCCTGCAGCACAGCAAGAACGCTGGGTAGTACAGACACTATTTTGATAGGCAATAATCACATAACAGAAAGTGGAAGTAATGGAAACGTGCCTTACCTGCAGCGAAACGCACTCTCTCTACCTCATAACCGCACAAACCTGACCAGCAGCGCAGAGGAGCCGTGGAAAAACCAACTATCCAACTCCACTCAGGTACAGCTTCTGTTTGCTCCTGGGGTGCACTCAGGAGCCTTCCTGGGCAAGGCACTGGTGGAAGGCTCTCATTTGTGAAAGCACATTTTCCCTAGAGTTGATGGCGTAGATTCAAATAAAACATAGGTTCAACCTGCACACTGCTTTATACTGTTGAAAGTCTGAGTGTTAATGAACTCCTTCTAGGGTAAAGGAAATGATCATAAATCAAAGACTGCAGTTCCATACTGCTCAGCTGCCTACCTTTGTAGAAAAGTTTTTTAAAGGGGAATACTTGTACATCTTTTTGTTGCTTCTTTAATGTGAAATGTTGTGACTTTGTTTTTCGTGTCAGAGGAATGTGCGTATTTCATGGGAAGCTGAATGTTGTAGTTATTTTTGACATTACATTGTCACCATGATGTAATCATTACCATATTTTGTTTCCATGTGATTTTTAAGAATTAATATGTAGCACTCAGCACTCCAGAGTTACTTCTAGAAAAGTACTATAATGCCAGTAAGAATCCATAGGGATTAAAGTGTATGAGTAAGCGTGTTTTGTGTATGTGTGTTAAAACTTGAAGGTGGAGCATTTTTTTAAAATTTCAGCCTGAATGTCTTTCTTCCAAGACAAACCTTGTGGATGTAATGAGTTCTATAGCATCTATATAGTTATATATTACCTATCTCACCTATATAGTTATGTACCATAATGGTTTAATTCATTTTTACCAGATGGGTTATACAATTGATACAATGTTGTTTTCTTCCTCAAAACTGCCTTCATTGCTTGTTTAATTAATATTGCATGTCACTTCAATGCTGAAAAATTGACAGTGGGCTTACATACATAGATACACCACTGTACATAAACTGCATCAGAGGCTGAGATAGTGCTGGACCACTTTGATTATTTTTGATTATTCAAAGCTTAAACTGTGCTCTGATTTTCAAAAGTTTCCTCTAAACAAGCAGGACCGTTTTTAAATGTGACAAGGGGATTTGGAGCTTATGCAGCTTACTGCCCCTTGCTTAAACTTGAATTCACATTTGTATTTTCTCTTTATAAAAGAAGTTCTTCAC